GTTCTTTTCGTAACAGTATCCTCAAAATACAGAGTGAAACTTATTTTTTCCAGGGGTATATATATACGTATATACAGCTTTTATATTTAACTAAAGCTTCACTAGAAACCCGAAACTAGCACATGATCATTTTGTGAATGTTTTTTTCTTTTGAACTATTTTGTATTCTGTACTTAGTATTAAACAATTTCTCAATCAGCTCACTAAATCAGCGAAAGGAAAAATACTATTTAAAACAAATGCCACTATAATACAAAAATTTGTCCAAAACACATGATTATACACATTAAAAGTTCTTTTTTCCTCTAAAGGCAATAGCAAAATTAAGAGGTTTCTGGAAATTTTCTACTTTCTTTGATAAAATATAGAAAAAATAGGAATTTTCATTAAAATATAGGACAAACATAGGACGTTTTTGAAAATAAAGGAAATATAGGTCGAATCGCCGCCCAGTATTCTACTCCAATTGTTTTGCTCGTCGACTTTTCTAATTTTGCTAATTTTATATCTTGAGTTTTCGTTCTCTTCAATTCAGGTAACTTCGAGAGAGTTTCGTTCAAGTGTGAAGAGAATATGAAACATACGTCTGAATATTTTAGTTATCAATGCTTAACTATACTTTCATATTGAAAAATGCAGCATTGGAATGCTGAAGAGCAACGATGGCCAATGTAAAAATATGAATTTTACAGACTTTACAAGCTAATAGCGTAAACTTCAGATACATGCATAGAGCTTTTCATATTTTTACTGCACCGTCACATACTTTATTCTCATTAGTACTAGAGAAATTGTCAAGAGAAGCTCAAAGCAAAGCAAACTATAAATATCTATTGTTTTTGAATTCATCAATGCCACTTAGGTCTCTACATTGTCGATTCGTTTGATTAGGGCACTTTGAAGCAGCAGCAATAAAAAATCGAGTACTCAACAAAAGGGAGTTACAGTGACATTGACATTTTAGTGAACATTGTGAACAGATCAATTGCGTGTTATTACATTCAGATGCTCTTTCCTGATCATCGTTTTTATAGACAAAAAAAACATTAAAAATACTTTTGCAAAATTGTTTTACTGTAAAAATGTGAAATAAAAGAATTAGAATTCATGATGTATTCGCTGTAAAATCATGTTTTTATTGGCTTACTCGTTTATCTCAATCAGTATTCAATAAATAACATCTATGAATCAATCTAGTCAGGTTTTTTAGACTTGAAATGAAAACAAAGTTTCATAATTCACTGTGAGAAATTTTTCGAATAATATAAATGGAGAGGGTGACTTTTTTTTACGGAGACGCTCTAATCGCACAATTTCTACGGTGTACTTGTGGAAAATTTTGAAAGATTATCTATCATGAAGTGTAATCAAAATGAAGAGCTATCTTTGAAACTTTCTGCTGTGCACTTAAAAACAAAGAAAACATGAGGGCAGAATGTCGATCCTGTTGATCGGAAGACTACAATGTACTCTATGAGTTTCTCGTATTCGAATGTATTAGGGCCAGTTAAGAAGCCACTACTAGATAATGTACCTATTGTTAAATTACGTGTTATGGATAATTTTTCTACTCGAATGTTTAGAAATAAGAAAATAAATGTCGCACAGATTTCTTTTCATCCGGTATATCGTGATATTTATTGTTGAATACCATTAGATCCAATTTCGAGCGTCGTACTTTGCCTCGGTCTTAAAACACTCTTGACCTTGCTCGGCTCGTAAGAAAGAAAAGATGAATAACGAACCTTCGCTTTCATCTAATTCATGCGTCGTTATTTTTATCTAAGTGGATTTTGATTCCTAAATTTGTTCACAAAGACAATTGAATGGCAGTATATTACATCGTGAATCAGTATAATTAGGGGTGCCAATTTACAGTTTATTTAATTAAAATTTAACTTCGCGAAAAGTTAATTTAATTTAAAATTAAATTCTATAAAGCTAAATTTAAAATAAATTAAAATTTTTCTCATACAAAAATTAAAATTTAATTTTTGGACTGGAAAATCATTTAAATTTAAATTTAAAATTTTATAAATTGTTTGTATGGATACACATCATTGCTATGAGGAAAATACCTGACTTTAACAGTAGTAAATACTAAATGAGAGTAAAACCTAGTGTTTTAGGTTAATATTTGTTTATCATAGGCAAAATTTCTCTACAGATTATACAGGATCCATCATCTTTCTTCTTCAAACTACCGGGATACTCATAAAAAATATATTTAATAGCACAATTCGTAGAAGAATGACTAGCTTTAACTTTAGAAAACAGGAAACATACTCAAATTTGACTTTAAATAGTAGCAATCAAGTCAAAAACTGTGTTTATCTACTAGTCTTGAAAATTTAACTAATTTGAATTTCAAAAAATTTAATTTAAATTTAGTTAAATTTAAATGATACAAAATTTTAAATTTAACTTTTCATTTAAAAAAATTTAATTTATTTTAAATTTAAATTTTTGAAAATTTATTTCTCGATTTAATACATTTTTTTAAATTAAAATGTGACATCCCTAAGTATAATATAAGATCACTTTGTAAGCAGTCTTGCTATTTGAGCGAATTTCTAAAAGGCATTCTTTTTACTTTCATGTATATTCTTATTCCCTCCAGTGATTGGATACTTGGTACAGTACTTGGTACTTTTCCTACTTTTTATTGAAAAATCTTTAATACATAGTACATTTGCGCAGTACAAGTACATATGCTTGGTACTCAACTTGTGTACTTAGTATTTGTACTTCAGTACATTTTACTCAAAATCCCAAAAATCCGCTTTTTCCCCTTGACCCATTGAATATTGATGAAGATTCGAATAGAATTTATTTTCAGGTATTGGACTGTTTCATGAATAACAAATAGCCGGCGTTATGATGATTTCCTAGAGATCGAAGTAACCATTGTTTATATTACACCAATAAACTTTTTTTTTCTATACTGTTTATTTTTTCCCTCTAACTCATATATCTCCATTCAGTATTACTTAGAATAATTGAAACTATATCGATTTTATGTCGATCAATATAAGATATTGTAATATCAATATTTCCTTCTATTGTTTTTCAGTCCTACATATGTCAATAAATCATGAAAACAGTAAATATTAACTTAGAAAATAATAATAGAAGCAAACATGAAACTATGGAGAAGTACTAAGTACACTTGTACTCAGTACCGGTGCTACCCAGGTCGAGCAATCAGACAGTAGGCACCTATCGGAACCCATCCGATCCGACTGGAATCCAATAGGATTTTATCGGATCCTTTCAGATCTTACAGAACTATCGTTGGATTCCGGATCGAGGAATCGATGTCAGATTCCTATGAATTCCAAGGAGAAACCGTTGTATGTCATCGAAAGTTCATAGGATTTCGACACTGAGGATCCGACATCGATTCCTCTACTCGGAATCCAATAGAATTGTATCGGATTGTAGGATATTTCCAGGTTCCTATCGGATCCGATGTCGGATCAGTCGACTTGGGCACAAGTCCAAAGTAAATTAGTTAAATAACAAGTATATCTGTATTTGTACTTGTACTTGCCCATCACCTCGATCATAAAAGTATTCGATAGACGAGCACAAAAACAGAGTCATGCGATCTATCACTACTATGATTCACAGTTTCGAATATTTGTCTATACTCTCTCTTAATTTTTCATTCGAAAATAGCTTACCGTTGATCAGTGATGCGCGCCTTGCGTTCGTCAATACGATGTAAGTAATTGTACACAAGTGCCGATCACATTTATTTTAAAATAATTATATGTCAACCTTGAAAGCTCGATTGCAATTTTCACCATTGCAATCAATAGCATTCTGACAAATCGTGACTCACACATATACCGTTATGAGTTGAAAGTTGAAAGCTGAAAATTGAAATTTTTTATTTTCAATGTACTTTATCTTATTTAAAATAAATATTATTGAAATTTAGTGAACTGCCCTTTGTATCAATATGAATTGAATCTTGATATGACAGATTTACTTAATTATAACGTTTAAATTAATAAGATTATTAAGCGTAAGGGGTTAGAAATGTTTAAAGTAGTGACAATATTTTCGTTTACTTCGCTTACAAGAAAGAAAAGCATCATGAATAAGCTTTGTAGCCTTCTGCGCAGTCAAAGGTTACCATAATCAAAGTATCTAAAGTGTTTAATAATTTGACAAATTCCGATATCGCTATTGTGATAGATTTTCATTCTTGAATGCGGCCACAGATATATTGAACAATAGAATATTACATCTTGAAATTTTATAGAGTGCCTTGTTCTTTAAAGTAATAGGCAAAAGAGATTCTTCGTATTCGGAATTATATTATGAATATTTAAAAAGCGATTCGATCTATGCGTCATTCAAATCAAGGGTACTTTACTGAAAGATTTCTTATTGAGTTTGGTTTCCAGGTGCACTTCAACCAGATGCAAGCTATATGTATGATGTTGATGATGCTTTCATTGTGAAATACAGCTAAAGAGTCTTTTACATAAAAATGTCGTAAATCAGCGAAATTCAGAATGTGAAAGATCAAATGAATGGCATTATAAATAGAATTATCGTTCCTGATAGCTTGTTCAAATATCATGGTAAGCCGTCAACTCGATTATCTACAAGTATAGGTCTACGTTTGTAGTAGGGGCCTACATTCTCATTGGAGTTGGTGACATGCCATTTTTTTTAACCCGTTATGTCCTGGTTTGACCCAAAAGAGAAGCAACTGAGGAAAAAAATAGACTAATTGGTAATTTTTGGCGACTAAGACTACTACCGAGTATGTTGTAGTCAATTTCATTTTTCTTCTCATGAATATCAATCCCAAATGCAGCCTATGAAGGCTCAAATGTGACTCAGTTCCGATCCTTTCTTTTCACGGTCTCTTAACCTTTGAGTATAAATTAATTTACCGCTTACGCGCGAGGTTTATTTTTCTTTCTTCGATAACATCAACACATTATGCGCAACTACCAATCACATTTGTGAGTAGTAGAATGCTTGTAATACCGAAGAACACCGGCGAACAGACACCGTTGGCGGATGATAATGTAACTCGTACCGAGAATTTTGTGAAAGAAGTAGTATTAGATTTTCCCAGTCCACTAACCAATGTTACAAGCGCATCAGCAGGAATCAATCAATCAAAACAACATATCGAAAAACAACCGTTTTTCTCCTTTCGTCTTCACGTGTGGATTGCATTTATTATGTGGCTTCTTTCTTTTATTGTAAGTGTCAAGAACCTTAGAGCGCATTGTGATTCGACACCGTTACCCACTTTTATAATTCTGTATGCAAGATGGGGTATTTTCGTGATCATGGTATATCTTGGTGTAATCATTTTCTGGTATGTGACTCCCCATAGGTTTCTAATTGTTTTCCATACTAACCTAAGATGACAACTATTTGATCACCATTGACTCTGTATCAGCAAAGAAACTTGCCAAGACAGCGAATTCCAATTTAATTAGTAGTGCTGATTGACATCTTGACAGAGAATGAGCTATGGCTTCATGAAGAATCCGAAATAAAATCTAAATGAATTATTCTATTACGAGAGGGACCGAGTGATTGAGTATAATTTTCACAATTAGTCGCATGTTACATATCTACCTATACATTGCTATCATTTTGCCAAAATCTATCTTGTTTATCATCACAGTAGATTAATGTTTTGAGAAAGCGATTTTGTGTGTTTATTGTGATGTCTAAATAAGTGACATTAATGTGAAGCGATAACATAATACATAGTGAACATTACTATTTGCTTTAGTTATCTTCTAAATGACCGGACTGATTTGATACGCCGCGGACATACAATTATTCGACATATCTTCGTTTTCACTCATTTAGTAATTTTATTTTGCATCTTTTGGTTCTTTTTTGGCCAGATTTGGATCTTTGAAAATCAGTCGTATTGTGGACATTATGCAATATCTGGATTTGGTGTCGCAATTATATTCATTCAGTATGTTATAGGGCTATGGTTTATGATGAGCTACACATGGAATCACGCATGGATCTTGCGTTACCTTATAAAGATTATCGAAAATCGCCTGAATGAACTTCCGTGTGAACTTGAAAATTCAGAGACCGCATATGATATAAAAAATCAATCATCCGACAAAAATTATACGAGTCAAAATCAAATTTTACTTAATGTTTAATTCGAAGAATTTCATGGAGTTTCTTCTTTTTTAATTGAAAAAACATTTTTCACCAGGAGAACATAATAAATATTCATTCTTTTTTTTTTTTATATATAAAGATTTAGCTTATTGGAGTGGTCAATTCATCTATTGGATGCTGACAGCAAAAAATAATAAGATTTTACAAACAGAAATAACGATACACAAAAGAAAGACGGCGAAGCAACATGATAAAAATATATATCCGATTATTACTGTAATATGCACCTGTACATATAAAATAGACGTTCGAATTGAGTGGCTGATAAATAGGTCACGAGAGTGTAGATATGATAGAAGCGGAGGAAAGAAAGAGAGAGAGAGAGAATGAAAGTAAAATGAAAAAAATTCCATATGCATTTTCTCGTCATTCCATCATGCAAAGTCACATAATTTGCCAAAGAGAGTTGTGTTGTTGCTTTGCGTAAATGATACAATACGTTTGTTTGGTCTACCCTTTGGAAGGCTCTTGATGTGTGATTTTTTCGTGATTTTTGTACAATTTTTGCGGACGCTTACGAAACAAACTAGCAGATAGGACTACGATAACAAACAGAGAAAGAATGACAAGAAAGAGAAAACGAATAGAACGAAAATCGAAATTGAGGTAGTGATGACGTGGTTGGCGTGCATAGCTGTTCTTTCTTTGTTTATTCTTCCGATACCGTACATCTTGACTCCGAAGACACCAAGCTGGAGGAAGGAATCGAACCTTCTCCTGTCTGACTAAGAATCAGATGTATAGAACCACTACGCTATCCCCGGCTTTGACTCGTAAATATGTAGTTTGCAAAATGATAATATATTTATTAACTTCATCAAACGAGAAAAAGAAGCAAGTAGTGATAATTGTCATATGGTTGCTGTGTTGAAAATCTTTTAATCAAATTTTCTCTTTTTAACCTCATCATTTTAAAACTAGTTGAAAACTCAATAATATACTATCCAATTGGTGGAAACAAGAAATTCAGGAGCCATCGTTGAGAATCTGACACTTACTGAAACTTCAAAGACTGAAACACAGGATCTTTAATCGGTACATCACGAATTGTTATTTGGAATCGAATAAAATTATATCTAGAATGAAACTAGAAGTAGTTACATATTGCTATTTCAATAGTAGATCTATCGATTTAGAATCGAGTTATACAATCTTAAAATGAACGAAAAAAGATCCACATTATCGCTGATCATATTACCACTACGTGTTGTTTTCTATAGAACATGAGCAACAATTGAATTACACATGTATGAATTCAATAACCACTTGTTATTACTCAAAACTTTTGTATGACACGTACGTACAACTGCACGATATCGTTTTATGAACCATAATTATATGGGCTCATACGTAATTGTTCTTTTGCCGAGATATCGTTGCTCTCAATAAAAGCGGTTGTTCTTTTTTTTTTGAATTTCCGTTTTTATCATTTGATATTTGTAATTAATGTAAGACAAAAACGAAAAAATTGGTTTGAGTCCGGATTGTAACAGATTGCAATGATTTCGCATGGAGAATGAAATTCATCGTTAAGCGAGAAATTTTCATTTCGTAATCAGTGGATTAAGTATTGTTGATAAAGTTTTCAATGAAAATTATTTTCTTGTGCAAAAAAGGGTAATTGTTGTTTGTTTTTCTTCAATTTCTTTCCATTTTTCGTATTAATTAAATAAGCTGAAGTGAGCGTAAAATAATTGATAGTCAGTCTCATTTTATATCACAGACTGAAAAATGATAGAAATATGTGTTGAACCCAAATCTTTTTTTACTAGGCCTCAATAAAATGATATGTGCTCAGAAAAAATCTCGGTTTAAAAAGTAGATCATTCATTGTCCTTGCCAAAAACTGTTCGAATCTAGTTATCAAACGAATAATATTGAAAGAGATCATTTTTTACTGTTTACCTATTTGCCGTCTAATAAAGCTGAACAACTTTTGAAATTTCTTGAATGAGTATACTCTCTTTTCGATGATTAAATTACATTTGAATCAGTTCAGTTTTCATGCATATATTCAAAGGTTTGCACTAGAGTCCTGCAGGTTAAGACTTTTTTGTACCCTAACCCTGCCCTATCGTAAAACTTCGTACCCTTATCCTACCCTGCCCTACGACGTTCTTACCCTAGCCCTACCCTGCCCTATAGACTTCGTAACCTTACCCTACCCTGCCCTAGGGACTTTGTAACCTTACCCTACCCTATCACAGAGATTTTTCATTTTACACCCTATCAGATACATAGCTCTTCAGGTCC